GTGCCTCAACCACCACAGTCCCAGGGGGCAAGGCCCTAGCATGGCCCCAGCACCCCAGTGCTGGAGGAGACTCCTTTACTTAGAGACTGGTGCAACTGCCAGACAGCATAGTCAACTTCCCTCATCACCAAAATAATCATCAAGTAAACATTTTAAATTCACTACTTGTGGTAGTACTGCTCTGTAATGTGCTTTAGTACTACACTGGAACATAAAGACAACCAGCTTTAAACAGGACATAAGAATTACCTGCAGAAACACTTGTCCTTCAACAGAACAGCAACTTAAAAGCCTTATACATGTTGGTGGAAGGGATCATTCAAAACTAATTTGTTAGCACCTCAGAGACATTTGTTTATGTATATAATACAAAAATTAAAAAATAAGAAATTGTTCAGATATAGTAGGATCATAAGATTACTCAAATACACTGTTACAATAAATGAATTTACAGTATTGTTTGAGTACAAAATACGCATTTACTGAAATTAATGAACACTTTTAAAGGCTTTTTATATAAGTTGGGTTTTAAGACAATGGCACACATTCCACAGGTAATTTATTGAGTTTGGACAGACAATCATAGCTGAAATACAAAAAGTTTAACTTTTCTAATGGAATTAATCGCTACCCCACTAGTACCCTATAATCTTTCTTTTCTGTACTAAGAGCATTAACTAAAAACATTATTCAACCCATTACAGATTAGAAAAAGTATTACTTTTTGCATGAAATTATTTCCATAAACCACATATCTGCAATTATTATGCCTTGTCATAAATGACATCACACTGACAGCCTGAAATTGGTCATTTAAGTGTACTGAGGAGCAAGATATCTGAAACTTCAGAGTAGCCACCTTGTTAGAGACTTCAAAACTAATCTTTTTTTCCTGAGCTGTCTGGTCATAAAACGCTGTCAAAAATGACTTTTAGGATAACAAATTATATGTCATCTGTTTTAACACCTGTAGGCCTTGTGCAACTGAAAATTCGATTACCCATTCAATCTCCATACAAATCTTAACACTTGAATTGTCTCTGGATTCAAGAAGTTTGATGGGCTTAAATTTCATTCAAGCTGCTTGTGCCATTGTGCTACAGCAAGATAGAAAACATCAAGTAAAAAATTATATTAACATGTTCCAGAAACTTTCAGATTGCCACCTGTTCCTCTCAGAAAATCCTGACAGTCATTAATGCAAGTGAACATTCAATTTTCCTCACCTCCTGATTATAATACTTGCTGGGAAAAAAAGAGCAGTTGAAACATAAGGTAGGCAACTGCACAAATTCCAACAAAGGTAAAGAAATCTTTCAACTAGAACCTGTTTGTAGGTAACAATCATCCTCTGATTTTAGCTTTCTATACTCAAAGAAGTTTCCTTTAGAAAATGCAGGGACAAAATCAGAATACACAGAATGCACACACAGAGTAGGTAACAGTAACTCACCTTAGAGTAACTGATACAAATATATATTCAGCATATTCAAGGGTGTTCCAGATTTTGAATATGTATTCTACATGCAACTGCATTATTTTGAGCAACGGCATATAATAGTTCAAGTCTGTGGCCCTGCTGTTCTTCTGCCTTTCCTTTTGACTAGACATTAGTAATACCAGTATGACAACTAAAATCCATTGTAATCCAACATAGCAGCAAAAGGTAGCATTTTGCTGAACACATAAATGTAACAGAGATCCAAGAACAGGTCTTATTCAAATCATTGTCTATGGGTATTGACAATTTATGATGTTACAAGTTTTATGACTTCTGGTTTTACAGTCTTATGTCAAGTCAAAAAGTAGGACAGGTTTTTGAAGTAACTCTATCTGGTTCTGCTCCAGAAAATAGAGTCAAATGTTTATGAGTCCAAAAAACACTTAGGAAGCTAGAAAAAGACCTCATGTATAAATAGGCAAATGGTAGGGATACCAGTAAGGCACCTGAACACACTGCACCTTACACAGAGCCAGTAAGAAAATTCTGTCCAAGAGCAGAACTTCACACAAGGTGCACAGCAAGCGATCTCCCTCTCTCTGTTGAAGTGAAAGACACTGTATTTTTTGATAACTTATAAAACAACCACAGTTGGAAAAAATAAGTACTTTTCCTTTCTTTATGGACCATTTACTGTTATAAACAAGCAAGGACGAACAGCAGGGCTAGACGATGGGTAACAATGCAAGGTGTGCTGGTTTTGGCTGGGATACAGTTAATTTTCTTCATAGTAACTAGTAGGGGGCTGTGTTTTGGATTTTTCCTGAAAACAGTGTTGATGATACAGAGATGTTTTTGTTACTGCTGAGCAGTGCTTACACAGGGTCAAAGCCTCTTCTGTCTCTCAACCCACTCCACCAGTGAGCAGGCTGGGGGTGCACAAGACGTTGGGAGGGGACACAGTCAACCCCGACTGACCCAAGGGCTATCCCAGATGATATGGTGTCATGCTTAGCATATACAGCTGAGGGAAGGAGGAGGAAGGGAGGCAGGTTCAAAGCAAGGGCATTTGTCTTCCCAAGTAACTGGAATCCTGCTTTTCTGGAGATGATTGAACACATGCCTGCCAATGGGAAACGGTGGATTAATTCCTTGGTTTGCTTCACTTGCATGTGCGGCTTTTGCTTTACCTATTAAACTGTCTTTATGGAGAATGTAATCAGGTTTGTGAGGGTATCTGTTATCAGCCATTCAGCATAAGAGATTAGGACAGGAAAAGCAACCAACAGCCAGACACACAAACCCTAATGAACAAGAAATGAGTTCTGGTCTTTTGTTATTATCTCTGTTAGGTCACTGACTGATGGGCCATAGAAGGAGCCACTCTGGCACATACTTTGAAGAGGCTCAACCAGAACTTTAGAACAGACAAGAAGTGGTAAACAATGTCATCATGGGTCTTCTGGGAAAGAACAAACTAATTACAGGATATCTGCAGCGGCTTGTGAAAATGTCCAAACATTTTTATGGGACATTCAGGAAAGTGCCAGAAGTAGGGAAGGTGAATCAGAATGGCCCAAGTGTGGGAAAATGGAGAGAAAAATGCTTAAAAAAACCCGTCATTGATGTAAGCTGCAAGTCAGTAGGTTTGTTTGGTCCAGCCCTGCACCTGATCACTGCAGTATGCCCAATGTTTCTACTGAGTCCTACTTCTACTATTTTCTATATGGCTTTGCTCTCTCTTCTGCATAGGTGTGGTGTGCAAGCAGTGTCAAAAGTAAAGAAAACTTCAGAGTCAGTCTGAAGTTGAGGAGACAACTATGAGGAGATAGTTCCTGTATCTGGAAAGACCTAAGGTCTAAGCTGGTGACGAAGTGAGAGACCTCAGGCCTAGACATGCATGTCTGATGAACCTGAAGTCTGTGTTAATATTTTAGTCTGTGAATGTGGGCATGTCGAGAATCAGGACAGAGCTGGTGCAGATATTTAACTGGCAAACTTCCAATTCCCATCAGCTGGAGAAGAAGTTTATCAGGCTGTTTGTATTCTTGTTCACCTGAGTGCTGTTTGCATTCATATGTGATGCCAGTAAAGGCAGTGTTTCTTCTGTGATGGTCTGTGTGACCAGCCATATCCCACGTACAGTCCCATCTTGGGAATGTGTGTTCAGTCTTGCTACTAGGAACAGTGGCAGCAGACCAAGAGGAGAAATACCCTGTAGCTTAAAGGCCACTAGACACAGGTTCCCTTCACAAATGTGTAATGATTATACCACTGCAATTACTTTACATGGGTCCAACCCTGACTCTCATAAAGCACCATAGTCTTGCACTGCACTCTTCCAGAAGCGAGAGAACACCCAGTTATTTCAAGGCTTCTTTCTCCTTCCATTTTGTATGCCATCCCCTATCTTCATACTAACTCATCTTTTATCAGCCACTCAAGACTTTGTGTCACACTTTAAAAGATGGGACTGTAAGAGCAACCTAACTTCAAAATCATGTGTGGATGAAAGAAAATTTTCCAGTTCACCTTTGCAGCAAAACATCTGATAACTATTAGCCAAGAAGCAAAATATGGGAATATAACAGTTCAGCAAATTTTATAAACCCATAGCTTTCTGCTTTAAAAATATATTAGATTTAATAAGCTGGCATTTTTCTCCCTAACAAAACTTTTATTACATGACAGTTAAGACCAAAATAAAACTTCATATGGAACTCAAGACCAGAGGAACATGTTTTTTTTAAACCAGTATGCAATTGTTTCTGTAAATTTGTTTCTCCTTTAAGTGTGCTGACAGGCTCAAAGGCAGCAGAAGAGGCAAATGCACTTTTAAGCAATATTGTAGATATCTAACCTGTCCAGTACTTAGTACTGATTTTATACTTCTACCTTATTCTTAAACTTCCTCAGTGTAAGCCTTCAGTGGCAAAAAAATCTTTCATTACAATTTTTAGAAAGAATACATAACTCCATACCTTCAGCTGGGAATATAAATAGATGCAAACTACTAAACAGTCATTGACCTGTATTACAAATCAGATCTTCTAAGACCTGATGATTGTGTCAAATTGTCTTACTGGTAAATGGACTCTAGCTGCACCTTTCAGTACAACCAAACTGTTAGGATTCCCACCTCATTAGAAACTTGATTATTATAGTGACAATAGCATGTTTTCCAGATCATTAAAGATGAGGCATTCATACAAGTATCTACGATATTCCTACACATCAACTTGAGCAACTAAAATAACATCTGCATGACAGTTCATCAATAAGTAAAAAAATACACAAGAAAATCCACACCTTTCAAGCACTACTGGTACTGAAATCTCTCTGTTTTATCATGAATGACAAAATTTTAAAGGTATGTATGTTATGGATGTCAGCAAGGGTAACAGTTACCTTGCTTAAAAAAGGCTGAATGTTATTTTGTATTATTAAACTTGGATAACAGCATATTTTTTTCTGCAGATCTTGGGATTTCATGTGCCCTGACCTTGTACCATAAGTTAATAAGAGCAGGAAAGAAAGAAACCTCAAATTGCGCACTTACTTATTCAACGTGAGGTCAAGGATGAATTTGGAACCAAAGGCCTCAATCTGGAAGCTTGCCTGGGCCAGATGTACAGCCTGTAAACATGAACACACAGGAGTACTATACAGTTTTGCAGAACATTTAAAGTTGTCAAAAGAATCATTAAGTATTCTATGCAACAAATGTGACAAACACCCGTGAAAAACAAAGTTATGGAAAACATGCTTATTTTCATGAATCTCATATACACAGGAAAAGTTCTGCCCTTGTACCAAATGCTGATTCAAAAGGATTTGCCTTTTTAGAGGATAAAGACAGGGAAGCAAACGGTACCTGAAAAGCATGCTTTCGAATACACACTCATTCCTCACAAAAACAAGGGGGAAAAAAAAAGATTCACATAAATGTATATATTTTGCCATAACCAGATGGCTCCTTAATAAAAGCATCAGTAATGTAGTATACTGTTCTTCCAATTATGTTACTGCATTCATTCACTTTAAAAGGCCTGAAATAATTAAAGCATTTGTAATACAGGCCTTCAAATAAGAAAAATCACAGCAAGGCTTGTATTACATGTTATGAAAGATTCCTTCAAAGTAATCCCTTCACAATTAAAGGCTTTCTACTCGGCATTGTAGCCAAATCAGTGTACAGAAGACTGATGTTGCTCAACATACAACCACCAAAAGAACATTAGCTTGTCTTGCATATGGAGTTATAACTTTCAGGATATTCAATTTTTGTCAGATATATAAATGTATTATTTATTCTCTTCTATACTGTTGTAACTGAAGCCAAAGATATTTAAAACATGCTCATCTGTTTTCTAGAAAAATAAGGGGAAGATAAGATTAGTCCAATAATTTATTTTTGTGAAGACACTGGTCCAGCAAGGTAGAGGAAATTAGATCTGAATTTCAGAAAACCTCTTCCCTAATAACGTCCTAATCAAATTATGCTTACTTATACACTAATTTGATACAGCATTATTAATTACATAATGTTGGAATATTACAACTAAGCTCTTCAATCAAAAAACAAACAAACAAAAAAATCTGTTTGTTATTAAACATCACAATGTATCTTCAGGTACATCACAAAAACTACAAAAAGTTCTAGCTAGTTTATGGCATAACTTCAACAATATGAAGATTAGCTTTTACAGCCTACAAGGACTACAATTTTGTTCTCCTTTGGAAATTTTTCCACACAGGATAAATTCTTTCTGTTACTCTTCCATTCTTGCACTACACAGAGCAGCACTGATTTTCATCTTATTTCTCTATGCATCATCTTTCATAAAAGCCCTCAATATAATTTTAAAAAACTAATTCTAAAAGTTGCTATAGTGACTAAAATCGGCTGTGATATTTCCTATGTTAGTTTATCATTCTTTGCCCCCCCGAAATATCATTTCCCTTTCAACAGGTTCACAGAGCTTTGTTGTCAAGCTTCTTTGAAAGAAGCGTGTAGTTACAAAATATTTTAAATATCTTTAAACAATCTCTTACCAAAAGCTTGGGGTTTGTTTATTAAAAAACTACAATAACTTTAAATAAGAATTTTAAAAATAATATTCCTAGGTGATAACTAAAATAATATGGAAGCAAACCGGTATCAAGCTTTCTCTCTGTTACATCTTTTGGTAAATGAATAGTAACAGTTGTATCACCAGTTCACCAATTAACTGAGATAACACTGGCCTGACAAACTCAGTTTACAGCTGCTCTGAAATAGTGAAATAGCCTAAGTATAAAAACAAACAGTTGACTCAATGGAGAGAATCTCCTAGTAGCATGCATGCCTAGCAGGAGAGGCTTTTCAGACCTGCTTCACTCTTCTGCACACTGAAACCAAGGAACAAGTGTCACAAGGAGATTTTCAAGAACCTCTTTGTGACAAAAACCTCATTATGCTTTCAACATGCACATGCATTAATTTAATATAAAAATTTTAAAAAGCATGAAAATTTATTAAAGGAAAAGGGTTACAATTAGTTTTATCCCATAAAGATTCCACTTAAGAGTTACAGGAGCTACTGCTTCATGTCTCCTTTACATGTAACATTTACCTAAAATTATGTGTCTTCATATATATGTCACAAACAAGACCTTAATGCTAACTATCTGGAAAGTTTAAAAAAAGCATGTACTATTCCATTAAGATCATTCTGAAACATAAGAAATGAAAACTACAGAATTTCTTAAAGTACCTATTTTTTATTATGTTTTACATATACATATAAAAAAATATCTATCTCAGTTTGGCAGTTTTTCAAAATCTCCTGCTTGAAAATAAACATGGTAATTTTGAGTATACTGCATTTTTACATACAAACAATGAAGACTGAGTATTTTCTTTAAGATCACCATTTACAGATCTAGGACATCACATTCCTGACAAATAACATGGCAAAAAGTGACTGCCCAATCAGTATTTACTCAGGGCAATATATCATTAACGATGGTTACAAGTCATTTTAGAAACAATACTACCAGTGATCCCAAATGTTATACTTACCCAAGTTGAGCAAAAAAGTAACATCAAAAGTGACTATATACTTTTTCCATGGTGTTTAGAAATAAAAATACACTCCTTCCTTTCAGTCTGATACAAATGCAGCATTTCTTTCACTTCTCCTTATAAGACTATGCATTACTTAAAATGTGTATTTTTTGAAACACTTTTTAGAAGAGCAGCATGAAGGCTAAATAATCATCTGCTAGAGAGATACCAAAGTATTTTGTTTCCCAATTTATTTTTGGTTTTGTCACTACTGTTGTTCTGACTGAAAATTCCAAACCAACTAAATAAGCTAAACTCTAGAATATCTTTTCTTTCAAGAAGATTCAAGCTACTTAACTGATTAAGAAAATGCTTAAGTTTGATGGATGACATACCACATCAAATAATAAAACACACTTTAAAAGCAATCACGGCATACTGAAACATGTCAAAAATCTTGAAACTTCAGCACAACACATTGAAAGGGAATCACAGAATCGTCCAGGTTGGAAAAGACCTTGAAGATCATCCAGTCCAACCATTAACCTAACACTGACAGTTCCCAACTACACCACATCCCTCCGCGCTTTGTCGACCTGACTCTTAAACCCCTCCAGGGATGGGGACTCCACCACCTCCCTGAGCAGCCCATTCCAATGCCTAAAATGAATGGGCTCAAACAAATGAATTTCTGACAATTATTAAGACTAAACTGTGATGTGATGTATGAAAGCTTTGCTTGTGCTTTGTTTCATTTGTTTCTCACAGACTCCTGATTTCTCAACTGTTTCTTTATGTCTCTTTTATCTGTTTAGGTATTAAAACACTCGTTAGGCTCCCTATGTAAATCACAGATACCAGACTCAAAGCCTTCAGTGGACACTTGGGCAATTCCTGAAATGAGATAGGGGGGGGCTCAAACAAAGAGACACAGAGACCCTATTATAGGGAAACCAATTCTGCTGATTTAGGTGGGAGACACCTGGACTTTACTTCACAGCGCATGCTCGGGAAAGAGGGTCAACTAGCAAACACTGAAGAAGACTACTTACTTCCTCCCATGACCACCAAAGACCCTCACCCTATTTTCACTATGCATGCCCAGTCTATATATATTCCAGACTATATATTCTGGGAACTCATTACTATAAGAAACCCCTTTCTAGGAAATCTAATTAATATGTATGATTTGCATGTATGTAAACTGATGTCCCTTGCTAATTCTTGGGAGCCCTTATGGTGGAGAATCCCCAGGGCAACCCCAGCACTGCTAATAAAGAATAGCTGCTTAACAGTTATATTGGATTCTGACTTAATTTCTTTGTTTCAAGATAAATGTACTAAAAATGTACCAAAAATGTACCTGTATAAAAAAAAAACAACCAACAAACAACAACAACAACAACAACAAACAACCCTGGATAGACTCAAGATCAGGAACTCCCATCAAGGGCTGATTCCTAGAAAATCCTGAGCCACAAATTGCCGGAGTCTGGGAGACCAGTCCAGGATATCTCACTCGGTGACTGTTCTTCGCTCCTATATCCCTCCAGAGGCATCTGCTACTGATTGCTCTCAGGGACAGCTAGGCAGACGTCTAGTCTGTTTTGTCCAACCAAGCCCGTTCAATGATGCATATGTATCATCCTTTAAGTTTCTAAGCCATCAACCTTGTATTCTTTATCTTTCTGCAGTTTAAAATTATTTAAAGTAACTTGTATGCTCTACAACATTGTCACAAAAAAGTTAATCTTGTAGAATTAGATATTATATCCTTGCTATTTCTGAAAACAACTACTTCTGTATATAAAAACACCACTTGCTATCTATTACTGTGCCCCACTTAACAGATTTAGCTAGCCTGTACACATCAGCAACTGCTTCAAAGCAGCTGACACTAGTTTGCTACCCTGCAGTAGGTCACATTCTCCACCAAACTTAGCTCAAACCGTTAGTTACAAAAAGAACACTGGATTTCTAAGTCCCTGCAGTTTAGCAAAAACATCATTTTGAATCCAGGTGGATGTGATACACCACTGCTGCAGCAAAATACAGATTTTGTTAAGCCAGTTTAATAACAGATAATAACCCATGAAAGTCATAAACCAGAAATCAGGTGAAGGTAATAAGACTAAAGTATTTAATCCTGAAACTGGCTTTTTTCCGTAACAAATCAGCACAGAAAGCTACCACTGAGTTGTCACTAGAGTTTTTAAGCTGCTACAATCATCATGTACCACCATGATGGGAGGAAGTATTTCAAAAAAGTATATGTGGAATTCTGTTATACAGCTTATCATTTCACAGTATTCTCTTATCAGCTACTGTGTAATATAGTGCCTGAAATATAATCTGAAATATGATGTTCCTCTGATTGGCAAAGAATTATAAATTCAAGCAAGAATATAATGTAGGTTAGCATATATTTTGAAGAATATATATGCGCTAGATATCTTACCATGTTTTTTCACTGGAAAAATACTAAACATTACTTTCTTGTACCACTTGCATACAGGTGTACATTCACATCGGCATGAGTAATCTTTATTTACATAAACAGGTGACCAAGCTCCTTTGTACCTGTTTG